GAGAGTCGCTGGAACTGATACAGAGATACATAGTCGATGAACACCCACTCCTCTCCCTTAAGAGCCTCGGCTAGTTTCGAAACTTGGTATCCGTAGGGGTCGCAATGCTCCCGCGACTCCCAACAGTGCGACAGCGACACGACCTTGGTGCCGGCAGGCGCCTTGCCATCGGCCCAGACTTGCACCTCGGAAGGGTGACAAAAAGCAGAGGGAGGCTTCGGGCCGCCGCGTCTTTGAGCAGGGAGATTAGTGCAAATGGCAGATCGCGCGCCTCCTCGTGGGTCACAAGCGCAGTGCGGCAATCCACGTAGGCGGACTCCGCTTCCTGGCGCCGCGGGAGACGCTGTCCTTCCCGGTGCAGCTTCAGAATGAAGTCGGCTCGCACCTGGGCAAGACACTTCATTGCTTCACGCAGCAAAACTGTCAAAGGTATGATCCGCCACACGTTGACTATCACGCACAGCAGGCAAGATCGGATGGCTGCAGGCCTTTCCAGCATTGCAGATTCAACACTGCAGCCCGGGGTGTGCACCAAGCGGATGTCCGCATCTTTCAGGAAGTCCGCAAGCCCCTGCTTCTCAGCCAGGTCGTAGCTCTTGGACTCGGGCAGGCTGTGCGACATCGCATTGGATGAAGTTGCACACACACACGACGCTCCAGCCTCTTGCGGCTCCGGAGCTGAAGCCGCGTGGCGGAGGCGGCACGCCACGTCCGCGCAGCTCAGAAGCCCCTCGCCTCCGCAAGGAAGCATCCACCACGAACCATCTTTCCGAAAACACACAGCACACAGCGTTTCTGACCCTGATGGTGCTTTTATTCCCAAGCTCCCAACCATCGGGCAAGATGTCCTGACCGAGCCGTTCGGAGCACAGGCAACAAACTAGGCTTGCAGTCCCTGCCTGGAGCATGTCCACGGTGAAACGATCGCCTGAAGCACTCTGGGAGAATAGCAAGGCTCGACAGCATGTATTGTAAGGCTGCTTCGCAGTACTGCACTGGCCATGCAACAGCTGGAGAGTCTAGGCCAATCTATGCGTCGCTTATTGGCTTCGAGAAGTCTCTAGTAAGAAAGGTTTGGACTCACCACATGCCACCCAGCTAAGTCCTTCGCCTTATTTTCGGCCAACTTCATAGTCCAAGGTATAGCTGTATAGCTGAAATAGAAGCATGTGCTGCCTTATGAGCTTGCCGCATTAATGACAGATCATTTCTGACTTCAGCTGAAGGATCTGGCCTTGAAGGTTCCTGACGATGACGCAGAGAGCGTCCTTGGAGATCCTTCCGGTGCCCGGGCCACCCTGGCAGAGGAGAAGCGGGCAAGAAACAGTCCTTGCTCGCTTTCTTGTTCTCCGGCTCGCTCGCTTCATGAAACCCCGCATTGCACTCCGAACACACAGACGCTACAACAATTGACCCCGTTTCAGCAGACAACAAGCCGATTGCAAGAAGCAACAAAGGCGGATGGCTCAGCAGGGTGGAAGAAGAGCAAAATCAGCTACTCCATTCGAGGTCATAAGCAAAAGCAATTCCGGCTCATTGTCCAACTCACCAAGAAATCCCCGCGCGAACTGTCACCTAGACAGAGCTACAGACCGAGCAGACACCGCTCTGCCTGAACCGCCTGAAGATGATGCCACAAGAATTAATTGCAGGGTTTGGTGTTGGCGTCACCCGCCCTCGAGCCCGCGGCACCAGCCGGATGTCCGCATGTTCGAGGAAGTCTGCCAGCCCCTTCTTGTCCGCGAGGTCGTACTCCTTCGCCTGCACTGCCGAACTCCGGTGCCCTCTTTTTGCAAGAGATCGTGGGGATGCGGAGCGCCTGCCCTGCGTTGGAGGTGCCTGGATCCGAGTGGTTGCATGAGCCTCTCCTCAGCAGAGCATCGAGCAAAATTGTCCGACATGTCCGGCATGCCGAAAGGAAATCCTCGCCGCATTTGAAGTTCATGAGCGTCCAGCGGAAGCTTGCTGGTCTCCCCCGTTGTCTCCTGCATGTGAACCTGCGGCTTCGGAGCAAGCAGATCTCAAGAGAGCCGGCACCAAATCATGACTGTTCCTTGGTTCCTTGATATGATTATGGTATGATATACCCGAAACCGTATTTTGATTATCCAGGCCCCCCCCCCATTTTACATACGAGCCTCTGCCTCTTTTAGAGCCTTTTTGGCAATCGCAGCGCTTTGCGGGTGTTCGAAGTAGCTAATATAGGGGCTTTAGCAATCAGAACAGCAATTTTTCGGGGCACATTGCAGCATGGCTTCCGACCCCCGTTATTTAGAGTTGGTTCGACATCACTTAGACCTGCTTGAGCCTACAAGTTTGCAACCATCCAACCTTGAGCCAAACGGTTTAACCGTCGATCTAAGCCCAAAGGCCAGAAATCCAGGCGCCCGAGCCAGCATCATGGCAAGCAGCCTGGTGTGGGCGTCCAAGCCGTCGTCGTTCACCTGGGCAGAAAAGACATTGGACTGAGAGACTCTTCTGCTGTGGCCCCCCGGTCCCCTCCTGATGCACGTGATTCGGGAGGCAGCCCTTGAAGCTCGCCTCTCTCTGGCCCTCGCCTCGGCTCTCCATCCAAGCTACCGGCAGCTCTCGGCAGCTCTCGGAGCACAGGGAGCTTGGTTCACCAGTACTTTCCCAACTTTGGGGGGCGCGAGCTTCTCGTTGGATTTGAGGTTACGCACACACACACACACACCGACCGGCGCAGAGGCATGCTTCAGGATGCAGGTCTGTGTGCTTGCTGGGCTCCAGGCGATCACCAGCAACTCCTGAAAAGTCCTAGCTCCAGGAGTCGTTGTTTGAGGGTAGGGCATGGCCGCCACATGATCTCATCCCACCTGCAGTGCCTGCTTGGTGACAGCATTGCCTCCCGTGCAAACACCGGCTGCCAGATGAATCAACAAAACAGGCTGAAGAACCTTGGCTCGGCCAAGCAGGCCTCTACGCTCGGCGATTCCCTCGCTGACTTGGTCTGTTTCGGCTGCCTGGCAGGGCTTGCAGACTCGAGCAGGATTGCAGCCTTCCTATGTCCGGTGTTCGACTACCGTGCCCACTGAGGGAATGTGGCTCGTGTGCCAGAAGACCACCGGCAAAGCTGCCGAGACTAACGTCGTCTTGGTCGGAAAGGGAATCTTAACCCCGGGCCCCTAGCTATGCTTGAAACAAAGCTAAGCTAGCCTCTCGACGTACTGGAATAGTACTACAAAAGACTGTAATACACCGCTATATATTGAATATACCATAGTATACCTTGACATAGTGCCATTATTTGCAGTAAGTCTTTCCCTCACAAATCCTTGCCTCAAAGCTCCAAAGCTCGAATGACTTCGAAACACGGGAATCCAAACACGCGGCCCTACAGCGCTCAAGTCGGGTACACTTGGCAACAGTACCTGGATCCAAACTGCTAAGGCAACGGGGCTTCATGGATTTAGACCACTAGCTGTCACTAGCTTCAGAGACGAACCTCATGTCTTGGCGGTCGGACCCCCTGTCAATCGTCGATCCTTGCTTCTGAAATGACGAACCTTACTTTATTTGAACCGACGAACCTACGTCTTGCACGGCACACAAGGAAAAGCCTATCACTGACTTCTCCTTCAATCCAGCACCTGTTGCATCTATCTAGCTCATCTGGGAGATCTTCTGCACTGCCTCCGAATACCTCCGAGGTATTAGACAAAGGCCCAGTTCGACATCTCCGTCCATGATCTGGAAACCTGCAGACCCCTTGGTGAGTGTTCGCTGCCTACTGTTTGCACTCCATGGAACCCAACCAAATCCTCGCAACTGTGAAGCAATTCGACCGTACACTTCCTTCAGGTTGTGTTTTGGCATCGAGAAAGCAACAGTAAGCCTTGCAACATTGGAAGAAAAATTGCGAAAAATTCTCGAAGTACCTCCGGCATTTGCCCCGCCGGGGGCCTCTCCAGGCTTGCTGGGGCGACCCGGAAAGCAGCGCGCGACGGCCCGGCCCAGCAGGCTCGTGCCAGTGCCCCCGCGATCGCGAGCGTCCCGACTCCGGAGGCGGAGGACGAGCTTCCGGCAGCTCAGCAGGCCTTCGCCTCGCTGCTGCTTTTCGACTCGCAAGAGGAGCTCAGTGTCAACAAATTGTCTTGTAATTTGCGCGTGTTTCTTTCTGGGCTTGGAGCTTTCGGGGCTTGGTTTCTCCGTGTCTCCGCGAAGCCTCTAAATCACTCAATATAATCCTTGTTGGCACGAGCTCGCTGAGGGCCCTGCCATCGGTGGGAACTTCTTGCAAAAGGCCCTGGGCTCGGTGTGATATAGCTTTTCAGGTGAAAACACAGACTTGAAACAGAAGGCCGATTGCTGTGCCAATCTGCTCCGGCCTGAAGTTCCTCCTCAGTGATACCGTTGCCTTGCACACAGCTGCTTCCAGCAGCCGCCGTACTTTGCAAGGCGCCCATGCTCGTGCGCCAGCCTCGAAGGCTTTCGACGATGTCGCAGAACGTCTCTGCAGACACTCTTTCCAGCTCCTCCCGAACCTGGCGAGCGGGAATGTTAGGAATGCAGGCTGAAAGCAGCTCCTCAGTGGGATAAGGCCCACGGTGCTATGATGCGCGAGCACCGGCTGGTTTGGAGTCCGAGCCTATGCTTCCTAAGCCCATATCTGGACACCACCTTCAGACACCTGGATCTGACTGTGCACTTTGATTCTGTTGGCATCGTCACTCCTGATGTGTCCAGATCTGCAAGGGGCCCTCCGGGCCTCAGTCGCCATCCGAGCCCTGGCCTTCGGCCTGGCAGCTTTTGGGGGGCAGGCCGTCTTCGGGAAGAAAGGATCGCATGTCGATTTATAGAGGTTGAGGTGGTGGTGCTTTGCCTGGGTTCCTTGATGTTCCGTCGGTGAACCTGCCAAGGGGTTTCCGTGGAGAGTCGGTATGAAGCCTCCGACCCAAAGCTTTGGCCTACAATGAAAGCCCGCTCAGCCGAACCCCCGACAATCACACTTGGATTCCCTGCGTGCACGTCTCAATGTATGCGCACCACAGCAGCC